ATTGGGATGGGAGTGTCAAAGACAGTGCGATTGGCACAGGACAGAGTGGAGTTTAGGGCTGTTGTACATAGGGTCGCTATGAGTCGCAGGCGACTTGACAGCACATAACAACAACAATGTGGAACAAGGGGTGAATTGCAGGGTGCGCATGGGAGAAGGAGGGAGGGAAGATAAATGTGCAACAATTAATATTTTTTTAAAAAAATAGAAAAGGTATTTGCAATAAAAAAAAAAGATTTACAGCCCTGGAAGCTTGTCTTTATAAGTCATCAAATCAATTCTATGGACTGAAAGTTTACTATCTGGATATAAATTTAAGTGTAATAATATGCTGAACTTGAAAGATGTGTATCTAATAAAGATGCAAATATTTCAGTAATTTTCATATTTATTACATATTGAGATGCTATTTTAGATATAATGTGATTAAAATATATTCTCAAAATAGTTTTGTGTTTTTCTTTGCACAAATTTGCTTTCAACTAGACTATCCTCTTAAATTCTTGAAGACTGGGAGAACTGCGTATGAATGACTTTTTTAAAATTTAATTTAATTTATTTATTTATTTTTGGATTTCCATTCATTCATTGTTGCACACATTCCTCCCTGATCACAACGCCCCCCTCCCCCAACCCAGTTTGCTTTTCTCTTCGAAAAGTAAAAAAATTTTTTCATTGTTATACAATCCCTCCCTCCCAGTCCAATCCACTTTTCAATTTTCATTCTGGATTCTTGTCATACCAATTACACCTAATCACATATTTCTCCTAAACAGTTCTCTCCCTTATCTGTGTCGATGGAGTATACATAATTTATCCAATCTTTCATCACACCAACCCTGATGACAGTCCCCTTATACAACAATGGCACTATGCAGTATTTGTCCTTTTGTATCAGATATTTCACTCAGCATAATGTCCTCCAGGGTCACCCATTTTTAATAATATTGCATGAGTTTCTTGTTTTTCAATGCATTGTAGTATTCCATTGTATGGATATACCACAACTTCTCTATCCATTCGTTTGCTGATGGGCACTTACGTTGTTTCCAACTCTTTACTATTGTGAACACAGCCGCGATAAACATGGGTAAGCATCCATTTTGCTTGGATGGCAGTTATGGTTTCTTTAGGGTATATTCCCAATAGTGGAATTGCTGGGTCAAATGGTATTTCTATTTGCAACTTACTGAAAAAGCACCATACTGCCTTCCATAGTGGTTGTACCATTTTACACTCCCACCAACAGTGAATAAGGGTTCCAGTTTCCCCACAACCTCACCAGCATTTGTTGTTTGTTGTTCTGTTAAATTTTGCTGTTTTTACTGGGGTGAGATGATATTTCATAGTTGTTTCGATTTGCATCTCTCTTAGAACTAGACATTTTTAACATGTGTTTCTGTGCCATCTGAATGTCTTCTGTGGTGAAATGTCTGTTCATACTCTGTGCTCATTTTTCAATTGGGTTGTTTACCTTTATATTGTTGTAGTGCACAAGTATTTTATAAATTCTAGATATAAGTCCCTTATCAGATATGTCATTACCAAATATTTCTTTGCAGTCTGTGGCTTCCCTTTTTACCCTGTCGGAGAAGATTTTTGGACGTGCATTGTGATTTTATTCTTAGAAGGTCCCATTTATCTATTTTATTCTCTTTTGGTTGTAGGTTTTTCAAGATGCTTGGAAGACTGTTTGTTGTGAATTAGGTCTTCTAGGGTTCTTTGAAGCTTTTATATAATGAATTTTACTGTTCTTGGTTTTAGTCCTATGTCCTTGATCCACTTTGAATATTTTTTTGTGTATGGTGTGGATCTTACTCGAGTTTTTTTTACGGATAGTTTTCCAATTTTGCCAACACCATTTTTTAAAAGGGCTGCCATTTCCTACTTAACTGATTTCATCTCCTTGTCAAAAATCAGTTGACCATAGGTAGATGGAATGATTTCTGGATCCTCAATTCTATTCCATTGATCTATGTGTCTGTCATTGTACCAATACCACACTGTTTTGACCACCAAGGCAGTGTAGTAGGATTTGAAAACAGAAAGTGAGATGATGTCTCCTACCTTGTTTCTCTTTTGAAGGAGTGCTTTGTTTATTTGGGGCCTCTTTCCATTGCAGTTGAAATTGGAGATTGCCTTTTTTTTTTTTTTTTTTGTTTAAACCAAGGAGGTTTATTTCAACACTGATTACTACAAATAAAATAAAAATATACAGTAGTGTACTTTTCCCAAGGTTTGCTCAAAACAAATGGGCTTTCAACATAGGGTTTTACCATCAGGATCATTATCTACATAGTAGGCTTTAGTTTCAAGTCAACCTTTGGCAACCCCAAAAATATATACACCATGACTTCCCACAGTGAACTTACAGATTTGAAATATCAGAGCATCCAAGGGCTGAAAGGACAAAGGTCACCTATCAGAACAGTTGATACACATGTTTCTCTCTCTGCAAAGTCATCCATCATTGGTCTCCCAAGAAAACATACATGAATTGTCACAAACTTTTAAATGGGGGGGAAAAAAGATGAATCTCAGAGAATTCAAAGATCTGGTGTTTTCTACCATTCATGATCTTATAGTTTCAATAGTGGCGGCTAAAAGAGAGAGAGAGAAACAGAGTGGCAGTGTGATATGTTAACACCTCACAGGTGGGATTTACAAGGGAACATGGCTGAACAGGTAAGACACAGATTCACCGTTATGAGTCCTCCGGATGGCCTCGGCCAAGATCATGGAAATATCAAGGACCTGAATCTTGGAGCACTGCTTCATCCTGTCCTCCTGCGGAATCGTGTTCGTGGCCACCACAGCCTCGAAGGGAGCAGCGTTAATTCTGTCAATGGCTGGCCCCGAGAAGATGCCATGAGTCAGGATGGCATAGACCTTGGTGGCTCCTGCAGAGACCAGCTGGTCTGCCGCGTGACAGATAGTACCACAGGTGTCAGCCATGTCATCCACCAGGATGGCCACGCGGCCCTTCACGTCCCCCACCAGGACCATCAGGTCCCCCTGCCCCACCTTCTTCCTGTCCTTGTCAATCAGTGCAAATTCCACGTTCAGCCTGTCTGCAATGGATGTCACTCGCTTGGCGCCACCCGCGTTCGGGGACACAATAATGCAGCTTCTCCACTCGGGGATGTTCTCCCGGATCCACTGCAGGATGGCGGGCTCTGCGAACAGGTTGTCCAGCGGGATGTAGAAGAAGCCCTGAATCTGCGAAGCATGCAGGTCCATTGTGCTCTTCAGCGGCTCCTCTCCCCAGGGCCTGTCCCAGCGTGTAGCTGACCGGCTGGGCCTGGAGCTGGGCAAGGTGGTCGCCAAGAAGTTCAGCAACCAGGAGATCAGCGTGGAGACTGGCCAGAGCGTGAGAGGGGAGGATGTCTACATCATCCAGAGTGGCTGTGGGGACATCAATGACAACCTGATGGAGCTTCTTATCATGATCAACGCCTGTAAAATTGCCTCTTCCTGCTGGGTGACGGCTGTCATCCCCTGCTTCCCCTACGCCTGCCAAGACAGAAAGGACAAGATGGCGATGGCCGTGCTCCCATCACAGCCAAGCTCGTGACCAACATGCTCTGGGTTGCTGGCGCTGATCACATCATCACCATGGACCTGCATGCTTTGCAGATTCGGGGAGATTGCCTTTTCCATCTCATCGAAGAATGGAATTGGTGTTTGTATTGGGATTGCATTGAACATGTAAATTGCCTTTGATAGTATTGTCATTTTCACAATATTGAGTCTTCCTATCCATGAGCAATCTATATTCTCCCATTTCTCCAGGTCTCTTTTTGTTTCTTGTAGGAATGTTCTGTGATTTTCTTTGAACAGATCCGTTGTGCTTCTGGTTAGGTTTACTCCTAAGTATTTAATCTTGTGATTAGCTATTGGGAATGGTATTGTTTTTCGTAGCTCCAGTTCTGTATTCTCTTTGTCACTGTAGGGAAATCCAATTGGTTTTTGCATGTTGATCTTCCATATTGCCACTTTTCTGAATTGGCCAACTATGTCTGGTAGTTTTCTTGCTGAGTCTTTAGAGTTTTCCAAGTCTATTGTTATATCATCTGCATAGAGAGATAATTTTATCTCCTCTTTGCCAATTTGGATACCTTTTATTTCCCTCTCTTATCTTATTGCTATTGCTAAGACTTCCAATACAATAATGAATAAGAAAGATGATAGCGGGCATCCTTGCCTAGATCCTGTTCTCAAGGGGAATGCCTTTAATCTCTATTGAGAACAATGTTGACTCTCAGGTTTGCATATATACTTTTTACTATGTTGAAGAAATTCCCCTCTAATCCTATTTCGTTGAGTGTTTTAATCAGGAAAGGGTGTTGGGTTTTGTCAAAGTCCTTTTCTGCATCAATTGATAGGATCATGTGGTTCTTGGTTTTTGCAATGTTTATATGGTGAATTACATCAAGAGTACACTTTTTGTTGTTGTTTACTGAGGAATTTGACATGAAGGGATTTTTTTAAAGTTAAAAAGTAACTTACTCACAGAGGAAGGCTCAAAAATAAAATTGGATGCAGTTTCCTCAACTACTCAGGAAAAGAAAAACACAAACACAAACACATTCAAATTCTTAATAGCTTTACAGAGAGATTTTCCATACTTTGGTTAAGTTCTGGTTCTTAGCAAGCTTTGAAAAGATTCCATTCCCTCTCCCCCCTCCCCCCTAACCTCTAACATGAGGCTGGAGAGAACTATCCCTCGGTGGACAATGGAATGAAATGAAAAGCACCTTTGCCACCATAGTTTTTTATCTGGAAATCACTCTTCAGACTTCCCCAAACATCCCCAAAGACATGCTTCTTTTTCCTGATGTCCACTTAAAAATATGAGATACCAAATAAAAATGAATGTTATAAAGAGAATAATAGCTAACATTTATCAAGCATGTCCAGTTAGATGCAAGATCTCATTTACACCATACAAGCATCCAAAAACTTAGATGCCAATACCACCAACAGAACTAGAAAGGTGTAGATAATTTGCCCTTCAGCATGCATGGCTGAGCCCTTGTTGCTCTGATCCTGGGGTATTAATTCTTATTTAACCACTGGACTCCATTTATTCTCCAACAGGAGCTCTTGACTGGGGCTCCTCATATTCCTTTCAGAGGCTATACAGAGGATTATTGTTACAGATTGTTAGTATTATGATTGTTTTCCCCCAGAAAAGATGTACAGCGTTCACTATATGATTAAATAAACTCATCAGCTGTGAAAGGAGCTCTGGTAACTTAGTGATAAGGAGTTGAGCTGCTAAGTCAAAGACACACAGTTCAAATCTACCAGATGCCCTGTGAGAGAAAGATAGACAATCTCTTCCAGGATTTGAACTTCCTGCTTGGGGTTAGCAGTACAACTCCTTACTAAGCTAAACTCGCCAACTAATGGAGCCATTCTATTCTCACCCAAAGAAAAAGCCATCCCTGCTAAAGCATTTTCCACAAATCCCTGAAATCTTCCTTCTTCTTTTCCTTTAAAAAGAGCTTTTTGCTACCTCATTCATTACCCATTATGAAGAAGTGATCCAGAAAAGTGTGGAAATTATTGAACAATATCAGACACAAGCAACATCCTGCTGAAGATTATGAAAACAACTGGAACAGCATATCAACATAGAAATAACAGAAATACAAGCTGGGTTTAGATGAGGTTGTGGCACTAGAGACATTACCGCCAAAGTCAGATGGATATTGGCAGAAAGCAAAGAGCACCAGAGGAATGTCTCTGTTTCATTTACTATACAAAGGCATTTGACTGTGTGGATCAAAATAAATTGTGGCTAACCTTGGAGAGAATGGGAATCCCGGAACACCTGATTATGTTTATGTGAAACCTACACTCAGGAGAAAGACTCATCAACAACCTACATTATGCGGATGACAAATCTGCTTGCTGAAACTGAGGAGGACATGATGTGCATGAAGATTGTAATCTTCAATATGGATTGAAGCTCAGCACCAAGATGACAAAGATTCTCACCACTGGGACATTTGGCAGCACCAAGATGGATGGAAAAGAGATTGAGGTTGTTAACAATTACACCTTACTTGGCTCCACAATCAACACTCTTGGTACCAGAAGACAGGAAATCAAAAGATGAATTGCACTGGGGAAAATCTGCTGTCAGGAACCTGTCCAGAGTACTGAGAAGTAACGATGTCAGCCTAGAGACTAAGGTGTGCTTGATCCAGGCAATGGCCATCACAATTACTTGCTCTGCATCAGAGAGCTGGACAATAACCAAAGATGACAGAAGAAGAATTGATGCCTTTGAGTTGTACTGGAGAAGAGTTTTGAACATTCCAGGGACCTCCAAGAAAATATATATGTCTGTATTGGAGAGAGTGAAACCAAGTTTTTCCTTGGAGGCTGGGATTTTGAACTGTCTCACAAACTTTGAGCACATGGCCAGAAGGGATGGTCCTTGGAAAAGGACATTATGCTTGGAAGGGTGGAGGTACAGTGCTGGAGAGGAAGACCCCAGATAGGATGGATTGGTACAATAACTAGGGTAATGAGGGGTACTGTGCTAGAGTCATTGAGACTGGGTCAGGACAGGGCAGGGTTCAGAGCTCTTGTACATGGCTCTTGTCACTATGAATTGAAGGTGACTTGTTTACTTTTTGGTTGTGTCCATTTCTCATTCTCCCAATCATGCCTTGACTGAGAGCATGGATTCTGAAGGCAGGTTTACTTAGGTCAGATTCTGTCTCTATCAGTTTCTAGCTGTTTTATCTTGGGTAAGTTACTTATAGTCTTGGCCCTCATATTTTGTTGTAAAATGGAATGGGCTTGACAGGGTAGTTATGAAGATGAACTTTGCAAAGAGCTTAGCATAACATCAGACACATAAAAAATAATCTATGGCAGCTATAATATTATTCCTAAAGCTCTTATGATCCTTGGGCAATTGTAACCAATTGCTCATTATTACATTGCTAATTCTGTTAAGACCAGATGGCGTTATATGGTTCTATATATCACTAATTCTACTTATATAATCAAGGAATCCTCAGTGTGAGCTCAAGTTCACCAAACACAGTTCAACAAAGCCCACATAGTAATCAAATCCAAACATTTTACAACTAGGGTAAAAAATAGTTAACATTTCTGGAATGCTTTCTGTGCATGAGATGCAGTTCTAATCCTTTTACAGGTATTTTATTTGTGTATAAGTGTGTGTGTGTGTCTGTGTGTGAGTGTACCATCAAATCAGATCTGACTAGTACAGGAGGAGATTGTCCCTCCTTCTCCAGCAGAGCATCTGGTGGATTTGAACCACATAGCTCTGGGATTATAGTGCACCTTCTAGCCACTAGGCCACCAGAGCTCCCTTTACAGGTATTTTTTTAAGTTGTCAGTGACCCTTAATACAAAGACTTTTTCCCCCATTATACTAATGTGAAAATAAGGGATTAAAACAAACCAAGCAATCCTCTATAGCTTTTAGATTGAAAATGAGTCAAATATTAAGAAGAAGGTGAGGTGTGTTTTTTTTTAAAGATTTTAAATCCATTTTGAGTTGCAGTTTTCAGAATTCATTGACTAATTTATTTTTTAAACTATTTCTCACCTATAGATTAATGGTTACATATTAACAGTTGAACATATTGGGGGAATATGCGTTATTTTTAAAGTAACACAATATATATTAATTAAACAGTATATGAGATATGCCTCTCGACTTACATGAAAAGAAGATAATTGTTGCAGTATTTAAGAGTTTTTAACTACTGGGTTGTCAAGTAATCAGGAAACTGTCAAAGCTTATTGTGTTTTCTTGTAGCACTTGGTGTTTGGAATATTTTTGTCTACTCCCAGTCTGAGTGAGACTTGGTTAAATATGCACCTTGAGTCAGCAAAGGTTCAAAGGGGACAATTTAATTATGACTCTGTAACTTCTTAATTTTCTTTTTTTTATTTTAAATTTTCAACTATTAAGACACTGGGGATTGAAAAAAGGCATTTTGCCACTGTATAAGATTGTAGAAATTGATATAGTAGAAGAATGTTTACTGATTGCATGTTTGTTGAGGGTTGTTTTAAGGATACACACACATACCTTGTAGAGTCAGACTTTGTCCATTGCAATTCTCTCTCTCTCTCTCTCTCTCTCTCTCACACATACACACACACACAATTTCTGTATAAATGTAGACCTAATCATATAATTGTGAAAGTCAAATAATGAAGTATATAAATAAACAGCAATA